CGCCGCCCCGTGCGATGGGGCCACCATCCGACACCGGACCGGCTCTCCGCCTCGCCTGACGGCAGCTCGCCAGACGTCGCCGAGCGACGAAAGGAGAGCGAGTGGACCGACACGCGCCCGGTCACGCCGGCGGCGGCCGCGCGCGCCTTCACGACGGTCCCTGCGGGCGACGCTGCGGTTGCATTCCTCGGAGATGCCGACCCGCTACCAGCGCCACCAGGCGGCGGCATCGGGGCGAGCCGCGGTGATCTTGAGCAACCACCCGAGCAGGGCGCGTCAGCTGCAGCCGGACGGCAACGGCTACGCCGCCCAGACCTGGAGCGACGTGCCGCCTGAGGATGGCCGCCGGCTGCAGATCGCCTGGCTGCGGCAGCAGATGCCGGGGATGCCGTTCGGCCAGTGCATGACCATTCCGCACAGCCTGGGGCTGCAGCGCCGTGGCGACCAGGTGGTGCTGACGCGGCCCCGGTGCGCGAGCTGGAGAGCCTGCGCGTGGAGCGCTGGGAGATCGCGGACACGGAGATCACGCCGGCGCGGCCGCTCGAGGCCGAGGTGAGCGGCGAGCTGCTGGACGTCGAGGCGGAGCTGGAGCTGGGCGCCGCCGACTGCGTGGGGCTGGTGGTGCGCGGCGTGCCGGTGTTCTACGACCGGCGCCTGGGCGTGCTGTGCTGTGGAGCTATACGGTGCCGCTGCCGGCTCCGGAAGGCCCGTTCACGTGGCGGAATCTGGTGGATCGCGCCTCGCTGGAGCTGTACGCGGACGGCGGCGCGGTGACCATCGCCGCGGGCATCATCCTGCCGCAGTGGGAATCCACGGTACGGCTGGTGCCCGCGCGGCAACGCCGCCCATTGGCGCGCACGGGACGTGGCGCGGCTGCAGTCGGCGTGGCCGGTGGCCGATGCATGACGAAACTCTCGGTGACCCCGATCGCGGGGGCCCTCGGTGCCGAGATCGCCGGAGTAGATCTCAACCGCTCGCTGAGCGTCGCGGCCGTGGCGGAGATCCGTCAGGCGCTGCTGGAGCACCTGGTGATTTTCTTCTCCGCTCAGGAGCTGACCCCGAAGTCGCTGCTCGCGTTCGCCCGGTGCCTCGGCGAGCCCCTCGCCTACCCGCAGTTGCAGGGCCTGCCGGAAGAGCGCTGGTGACGCCGCTACCAAGCTGGAGCACGAGCGAGTCGCCTCGCGGCGCTGTGGCCACCGACACCAGCTACCTGGAACGGCCGCCGATGGGCAGCCTGCTGTACGCGGTGGAGCTGCCGCCCTACGGCGGCGACACCTGTTACGCCACCAGTATCTCAACCGGTCCAAGCTATCGACAGCGCTCTCGGAGGGGCTGCGGCGGACCCTCGCCGATCTGACCGCCGTCTATACTGCTACAGGCGGATCGTCCAAGGTGCCCGCGGCCGGCGGATCGCACGGATGCCATCCAGTCGCCTACAGATCTCATCCGTTCGAGACTGCGTTCGGAGGGTCCGTAGCCATATCACTCCGCCCGAATGGGCACTTCAATGACCTCGCCGGACCGCACCGCCGCAATTGCCTCGCCGATTTCCCTTGTCCGAAGGCGAACCTCGCGCCAATCTGTGGAAAGCAGAACGACAAGGCCGATTCGCCGCCCCGGCAGATTCTGCTGGTAGGGAAGACTCTGATCCGTCGTCACGAGAACTTCATATCCCTCTCGTTCCGCCACCTGAGCAACTCGCCGTTGTCTTTGTCCGACCAGCCCTTCTCGGCCAGCGTATCCACCGAGTGCGCCGGAAGGCGCCCTCGCAACGGAGCCGGCGTGCCCTGATCGAACAGCAGCTTCAACGAGCCAGCGCCTTTCTCAGCGCCCGTGCTTCATGTTCCAGTACTGCACGCACCTGTTGCTTGTCTACGCCCGGAAACCACTCCACGAACTCGTCGATCGTGGCGCCGCCGGCGAGATTCTCGAACAGAGCGTATACCGGTACTCGTGTTCCGGTGAACGCCCAGGCGCCGCTGATCTTGCCGGGCTTGCGTTCCACTGCCGGGCAGTTACTCCAGTCCGTCATACAGTCACCTCCTGTTCGACTGCGTCTCGCTACGCCACCGCGTCGCTGAACACCATCTCCCAGCCGTGGAACACCACCGCCAGGCCCGTGAACCGCACGCCGGGAACTGCCGCGCCAGCCGCTGCGTCCGCCAGGTAGCGCCGCAACTGCGCTGTCGCGCGTCCGACCGCCGCCGCCACGCCGCGCCTCGTCCGCCGGCTCGCCGCGCGCTCAGGTACTTCAGCTCGATCAGATAGCGCCGCAGGTGCGGATAGCGCGCCACCAGCGGCTCCAGGCTAGATGTCCGCATGGCCCTTGCCCACTCCAGCCTCCGAGCGGAACACGAAGTAGTCGGTCACGCTCAGATAGGCGCCAGGAACCCCTGCACGATACCTTCTCGCCGGCGATGTAGTCGCGGATCCCCGTCTGCCGCGCGATCGCCTCGCCCAGGAACGTCGAACACCGGCCGCCACTCGCCCTCGTTGGCCATCCCATCAGCAACTGCTCGAACCGGAACAGGTTGACCGAGAACACCCCCACGTCGCGGTAGCCGTCGCGCAGGTAGCCGTACATCAACCGCTTCACGGTCTGGTTGGGGATCGCCAGCCGCGGCACGCCGTGCACCACCTCGCGGATGCTCAGCAGCCCGAAGTAGTGCAGCAGCGACAGGAAGTTCTCCGGCTCGGTGAGCTCTCCAGCGGGAAGCTGGGCTGGATGCGGGTGTCCACCTGCTGCTCGCCGATGATGTCGCGCAGCAGGTCGAAGTTGCCGTTGAGCTGCCGGCCCACCACCAGCAGGTGGCGCAGCTTGCCGTAGTCGATGCGCACGTTGGTGTCGATCAGGTACGTCGGCACCGCCGGTTCGGGATCGAGTGTGTCAGGTAGTAGAGCACCATGTCGGTGTTGTACAGATCGGTCTCGGCTTCCTCGGCGAACCGGTAGCCGTTGTACCACTCGCCCATGATGCCCATGGCGGTATCCACGTCCTGGTTGAACACGCCCAGGTCCCGGTACGTCTCCACCAGGCGCCGCACCTCCGCCTCGGTGAAGCCGACCATCTCGTTGAAGTCCGGGTCCAGGCTGATGTTCTTGCCGATGTTGAAGCCGCTGGTCACGTCGTCCATGGTGACCGGCGACACGCCGGTGATGAACAGGCGCTCCAGACCGCCGCCGCTGCGGTCCGCGCCGCCCTTGAGGGTGGCGAAGAAGTTGCGGTAGAAGCCGCCGCCGTGGGTGAACGAGTGGTACGCCTCCGCGCCGTGGTACGCCAGCACGGTGTTGGCGAAGTTGTCGTACTCGTCGATCAGCACGTACAGCGGGATGTCATGGTCGCCCGCGTACCGGAACAGCTCGGCAGCTTGGTGGCGATGGAGGGCGGCGCGAGGATGCGCCGCACGCGCCGCTTCGGGAAACAGGTCGGGATGGCGCTCCAGCGTCCCCCGAGCTCTATCAGGCAGTAGGTCTCGAACTCCCGCTCCAGGGTTTCGAGCTTGTCGTTGACCATCGAGAAGTTGAAGCGCAGGGTGACGTAGCGGCTCTGTTCCCCGGTCGGGTGCTGCCCGATGTCGGTGCCGGCGAAGGTGGCGTCGAAGTCGTCCGCCCAGAAGCGGTCGTAGTAGTTCTCCAGCAGCGACACCCACAGCGACTTGCCGAAGCGGCGCGGGCGGATCAGGAAGGCGTAGCGCTCCTGCTCCAGACGCCGCAGGAAGCGGGTCTTGTCGACGTACAGCCACCGGTTCAGGCGGATGCGCCGGAAGTCGGCCTCGCCGTAGGGAATGTGCGGGTAAGCGGGAGTCTCGTCCACTGAAGACCGTGCCGACGACACTCTATCGCCCGCGCGACGGCCCCTCAAGCACCGATCGGCTCCTCAGCGTCCCGCTGTTAGCGCGCGGCACGGCGCCCCTGCAATTCCTCGAACTGGAAGCCGTGATTACAAGGTGCCGCGCAATGGCCACACGGAAACCGTCTTGACGTGGGCCACTCCGCCCTCCGCGTAGAGGTCGACGCCGGTGGCGGAGGCGTCGGGATACAGGCGGTCAGTGAGCGCGGCGCCGCCGCAGTACACCTCCAGGATGGTACGGTCCACGAAGATGCGCAGGTAACGCTACCTGATTCACCATGAACGGTACGGCCGGTGCGGTGACCTGCGCCGCTGACAGTCTCCCCACCGCCCCCTGCAGGTCGCCGCGACGGGTGGCAGCGGGGTTGGCGTAGACCTGCTCCGGGCCGAGCAGGCGGTCGACGCCGATGCGGTTTCCTGCCGGCTCGTACCAGACCCCGCGCGCCCCGTCCGTCACGTGACAACGCGTACTCCCGCACACGAAACGGCGCGCGCGGTGCGCCGCAGATCGACGGTCAGCTCCAGTTCCAGGGCATCGCCAGCCGATCTGTTTCCAGGTGAAACCGCCGTGCCGCGGCAGGATGGCACAGGTCCCGTTGACGGTGGACCGGTCCGCGCAGGGCTTCGATCTCCGGTATCGGGCTCTGTAGCAGCTCGTCGTCCGCCAGCTCCAGTACCCCGCGGGATGCTGTGCGCGCCGATCCAGTAGGGCACCGTGTCCACCGGTGAGCCCGCGCCCAGCACCCAGCCGTGCAGCAGCCGGCGCGGCGCGCCATGCGGCCCACTGGTCATCACCAAGTGCGGGTTGACGCAGTAGTACAGGCCCAGGTCGACGAAGCGCGGCTCGCGCCGGTCGGGGTGGAAGCGGCGCGCCGCCGGGTCGTAGCTGCCGGTCCAGTAGGGGTTGTTGCGGGCGCCGACCATAAGTACGGCGCGCTCTCCGAACGTGCGCCCTCCGCACCGTAGGGCACTAGGTAGGGCAACTCCCAGTAGCGCCGCTCGGGAGCATGATCCTCGGCGATGGTGCCGCGGTGGGTCCACTCCTCCAGGTCGGTGAGTCCACAGGTGCGCGGCGCCGCGCTGGCCGGCACCTGCCCACCGCGCCGCCGATCAGTTGCTGCCACAGCTCGCCCTCCTTCCACACTTGGGCGTCCCAGTGCACCGGCGAGGCGGCGTTGGGGCGCTGCTCGTTGTCCATCACCTTGTGCTTGTGCCAGGTCAGCCAGCCGTCGGTACTGCGCTGCCAGCACGCCGTAGGCCTCGGCATGGCCGGCGACGTTTGCCGGTGTAGCAGCGCCACAGGGAAACCGTCGTCGTCGATGATGGTGTTGCCGGAGTAGACGCCGGCCACGTCGTAGCGGCTGTCCGGCCACATCGCCACCGGCCAGTCCTCCCAGTGCAGCAGGTCGGCGGAGCTGGCGTGGCCCCAGCAGATCGCGCTCTCGCTGCCGTTGGCGTACACCGGCCGGTACTGGTAGAAGAGGTGGTAGGTGCCCTGGTGGTAGATGGGGCCGTTGGGATCGTTGATCCACCCCTCTGGAGCCGTGAGAAGTGGTAGCACGGCCGCGTGCGGGTCGGTGGCCAGCATCCAGCGCCGCAGTTCCCGGGCCGCGGGGCGCCGAACACCGCCCGCTCTCCCTGCTGGTCACGGCCACCCGAAAATCGCGCACCTCTCGCGGCCACCGGTCGCCGTTCACTCCGGTATTTCCCTATGATGTCGATGATCAGGCTGATGTCGTCGCGGGCGGCTGCCAGCGGGGTGCGGTTCGCCGTGCCGTCGACGATGCACTCGTGGAAGTGGCGCAGCTCGCGCAGGAAGGCGCTCTCCCAGTCGACCGCCGGCTCGGTGCGGTAGGCGGTGCCGTCCCCGCCGCTGCCTGGATCACCACGGAGGGAGAGAGATGCCGCGCGCGAACCCGGTCGGATAGGAGAGCAGGACGCGCTGCTCGTCGCCGTAGATCTCCAGGGTCTCCTAGAAGTCCCACAGATCGGGCAGGTCGACCCAGGTGGCGACGCAGCGGGCAGCCCGAGTGGGTCTTCAGGTGAAGGTGACGGCGCGGCCGTCGCGCCAGATCTCGGCGCTCACCACGGCATCGGCAGCCCCAGCATGGCGCGCATGGTGTACAGGTCGTGGATCATGCTGCCGGACAGCAGGCTGAAGGCGCGCTGCACCTCCGGGGTGGCGTCGCCGAGTCGCCTGCCGGACGGCAACATGTGCGCGCGGCCGCGGTCTGCTCGATTGCGGCGGCGGGATAGTCGTCGAACCGGCGCAGATCGAACTGCCGCAGGTGAAGCCGTTGTTCGGGGATGCAGGTGGTTCACCTGCACGAAACGGATCTCGTCCATCTCCCGCACCGCCCGCTGCGCCAGCTCGAAGGCGGGATCGTACACCTTCATGTAGCCGGCCTGGGCGACCGTACCGGCGGCACGCTGGGCGGCGATCATGGCATCGATCTCCGGCAGCGAGAAACACAGCGGCTTCTCGATGAACAGGTGCTTGCCCGCCTCCAGGACGGCGACCGCGGCCTCGGTCTTGGGGTCGGTGTGACACACAGGACCGCGTCCAGGTCCGCCGCCAGCAGTTCCCGGTAGTCGGTGACGTGACGGGGCACGTGGAAGCGCCGCGCGGCGTCCGCCGCCGCGCTCGGTGATGTCGCACACTGCCGCCACCTCGAACTGGTCCTGCAGCACGCTCGAGGTTGGGCAGGTGGTGGACCTGGGCGATGGCGCCGCACCCCACTACCCCGATCTTGACGCGCTTCATGGCGTGGCGCTGCGCGCGGCGAAGGCGTTCCAGGCCGCGGCCAGCTCCATGGTGCGGGCTGAACAGCTCCGACAGCGCCTCCCACATCGCGTTGCGCGCGGCGTGGGCGGCGGCTTCGTCGCCAGCGGCCAGCGCCTGCGGTAGCGGGCGAGCTGCTCCTGCTGCACGGCTCGCGGCGTCTGTCGCGGACTGCGCCACGGTCGCTGCCGCCGCCGCCTGGCGCGCCGCTATCTCCGTGGTTGGTGTGGTGCGGTCAGGCTGCTCGTCGTACGCGCCGGCGGCGGCGAAACGCGGCGGCTGCTTGGTGCCGTCCTCGTTCCAGTAGGTGTGCGTGGGCTGGATGTGCGGCGTCACCGAGAGGAACATGATCACCTCGTCGTCGCCGACGTTGCGCACCGTGTGGTACTGGTCGGTCAGGGCGATGCACATCTGCCCCGGACCGAGCACCGCGCTCTGCCCGTCGATCTCGAACTCCGCACGCCCCTGCAGAATGAGAAAGATCTCGTGGCCGAGGTCGTGGGTGTGGCCGGCGTTGAACTGCCCCACCGCCATCTTCAGGAAGCGGCAGCGAATCTGCGGCGTCACCGGCATGTTGACGATGTCGCTGCGGTAGTCGTAGACCTTCAAGCCCATGGTTCCTCCTCGCCGATGCTCCGTGCTACATGGGAGCACTCACGGGAGCCATGCACCTGCGTCGAGCGGCTTACGTAGTGTTTCGAAAATGGTAAGTGAGATCTGGTTTTCCAGGTAGATACGATCGGTCTTGTTCAGGCCCCGCGTCAGAGTGTCGATGCGCGCCATCACCGCGCTGGCGGCTTCAATCGATTTCTTTCTGGAGGCAGGATCCATCCCTGGCGCTGGTCGCTGGAAGTCATCATTGATGAACGACTCAAGAGAGGCCTTTAGAAGCGCTTCATTGACACCGTGTTTCTTCAGCATTTCGCTGAAGGGTGTTCCTTCCTCGTTTGCTGAAACGAACAGAATATGGCTCACGTCAACCAATTCGTGACCGGACTCTCGAGCGTAATTCGCTGCCTTGCCGAGAATACCGAGCATGCTCTGAGACGGAGGCAGATCACCGATGACTACCCGAGAAGTCTTGGCAGGAGAGATGTGTCGCGCTAGTTCAGAGACGATATCGGGTAGTTCGAGGTTCAATTTCTCGGAAAAGCCGTATTAGACCGTCCAGAGTCGTTGTTAAGTATCCCAAGGATCAGATGCTCAGTCTGTATGAGTTCCGATCCGGTATTACACGCCTCCCTCTGCGCGTGTACGGATAGAACCTCTGAGGTGATGGCATTCAAACCTCGAAACTTGGTCTCTGACATTACCGCAATCTACCCGAGAAGCTTGTCCCCATCAACAATCATCCGACAGCGCGTAGCAGCGAATCAGGGTGATGGGTTCAGCCCCGGTACGGAGCACCAGCCGGTCGCCATATTCCAAGTCGAGCCGACGTCCCGCTCACGCAGATGTTCCCGGATGGCCGTGTCCGACGATGTTCACCGTTGCGCGTGCGCGGATGCGGGTCGAGCGTTGCCGCCCGTTCGGGCTCATGCGCCACACGGTGGTTGGCGGCCAGCAGCCCGACTCTCGATGCGGTGCCCGCTTTCGCCTGGCCGACGCCGAACGCCTTCACCCGCGGCGTACGACGGTCAAGAACTGAGGTGGTCAAACCGCAATGGTGTAGTGGTTCACCACTACCGATTCGGCGGCAGCGTTCTCGTCCCGCTCCAGCTCGTCGAGATACAGCCTGATCGCTTCGGCCACCAAGGCCCGTACCTCGTCCTCGGTTTCGCCAGCCACGCCGATGCCCGGAAGTTCCGGTACATACGCTCCATACGAGCCGGAGCCGTACTTCTCTACAATGACGAGATACTCAGTTTGTCCCATCTCCGCTCTCCGTGTTCTCCGTCAAGCCAGCCTGCTTGAGCACTTGGCTCAGCGTACCGGCCCTCATGTCTGCACCAGGATTCCCAGCCACCACCACTATGCCACGCTTGGTCGCGTGTCGCATCACCCGGTGGCTCCCCCGTCGACGACCTCGTACCAACCGTCCTCGTGCAACTGTCTCAACACCTCCCGGACCTTCACGACCGGATTATACCGCCGTTGGCATGACGGCGGAGCAAGCCAGTGGCGTCTGTCGGATTGAACAACATGCTGTGGAGGTACTCGTGTCAACGCACGTCCCCTGGCTTTCTGTTGGTCCGATCGTCCCCAGCTTTCGTTCAGGATGTGCCTGCCGGCTCGTAGGCGAGCGAGAACACGGTGTCGGTCATCCAGCGCTTGAAGCTGTCGTTGTCCATGAACTGTTTGAACAGCTCTGTCGGCGTCGTTGAGAAAGTCGAGCACGAACACGTCGTGCTTCTTGGGGTGCGCGCGGTTGAGGCGCGACAGGGTCTGCACCGCCTTGATGCCGGACAGCGTCTTGTCCACGTACATGGTGTGCAGCAGCGGCTCATCGTAGCCGGTCTGGAATTGTCCGCGCACACCAGGAAGCGGTAGGGATCCTCCTGGAACCGCTCGGCGATCTGCGCCGGGGGAAGCCGTTCAGCGACCCCTCGGTCACCTTGGCATCGCCGTATTCGTGCTCGGAATTGAGGTACTTCCTGGTACCCGCCGTCATCACGTTGCTGATGACCGCCGGCGGGCTGAGCGATCTGGGACAACCGCTGCACCCAGTACCTGCCGATCAACGACTACCACGGCTTCCGGCGCGTGATGCGCGCGTGACGCTGGCCGGCGATCAGCCGTCCTGACCACTGCGACGAAGAGTCGTCCCGGTCACCAGGTGCCGCGCAGCGGCCACACGGAAACCGTCCTGACGTGGGCCACTCCGCCCTCTGCGTACAGGTCGACGCCGGTGGCGGAAGCATCGGGATACAGGCGGTCGGTCAGCGCCGCGCCGCCGCAGTACACCTCCAGGATGGAGCGGTCCACGAAGATGCGCAGGGTAACGGTACCAGACTCACCGTGGACGCTCCCGGCCGGAGCTGTGACCTGTTGCGCCTGCAGTTTCTCCGCCGCCCCCTGCAGGTCGCGCCGCTGGTTGGCGGCGGCGTTGGCGTAGACCTGCTCCGGGCCCAGCAGGCGGTCGACGCCGATACGATTCCCTGCCGGCTCGTACCAGACCCGCGCGCCCCGGCCGTCGCTCGACAGGCGTACTCGGCACCGAACCGGCGCGCGCCGGTGCGCCGCAGATCGACGGTCAACTCCAGTTCCAGGGCATCGCCGGCGACGTGTTCCAGGTAGCCCGACGTGCCGGGACGACAGCCAGGTCCGTTGCGCTGGACCGGCCCCCGCAGGGTTTCGATTTCCGGGACCGGGCTCTGCAGCAGTTCGTCGTCCGCCAGTTCCAGTACCCGCGGGATGCTGTGCGCGCCGATCCAGTAGGGCACCGTGTCTACCGGTGACCGCGCCCCCAGCACCCAGCCGTGCAGCAGCCGGCGCGGGGCGCCGTCCGGCCCCCGATCATCCACCAGTGCGGGTTCACGCAGTAGTACAGGCCCAAGTCGATATAGCGCGGCTCGCGCCGGTCGGGGTGGAAGCGGCGTGCCACCGGGTCGTAGCTGCCGGTCCAGTAGGGGTTGTTGCGGGCGCCGATCATCAGCACCGCGCGCTCTCCGAACGGTGCGCCCTCCGCACCGTAAGGCACCAGGTAGGGCAGCTCCCAATAGCGCCGCTCGGGGTCATGGTCCTCGGCGATGGTGCCGCGGTGGGTCCACTCCTCCAGGTCGGGTGAGGTCCACAGGTGGGCGGCGCCGCGCTGGCCGGCGCCCTCCCCGACCGCCCGCCGATCAGCTGCTGCCACAGCTCACCCTCCTTCCACACCTGCGCGTCCCAGTGCACCGGTGAGGCGGCGTTGGGGCGCTGCTCGCTGTCCATCACCTTGTGCTTGTGCCAGCTCAGCCAGCCGTCGGTGCTGCGCGCCAGCACCCCGTAGGCTTCGGCATGGCCGGCGACGTTGCCGGTGTACAGCGCACACGGGAAACCGTCGTCGTCGATGAAGGTGTTGCCGGAGTAGACGCCGTCCGACGTCGTAGCGGCGGTCGGGCCACATCGCCACCGGCCAGTCCTCCCAGTGCAGCAGGTCGGTGGAGCTGGCGTGACCCCAGCAGATCTCGCTCTCGCTGCCGTTGGCGAACACCGGACGGTACTGGTAGAAGAGGTGGTAGGTGCCCTGATGGTAGATGGGACCGTTGGGGTCGTTGATCCATCCCTCCGGCGCCGTGAAGTGGTAGCACGGCCGGTGCGGGTCGTTGGCCAGCATCCAGCGGCGCAGTTCCCGGGCCGCGGGGCCGAACACCGCGCGTTCCCTGCTGGTCACCGCCACGCGAAAGTCGCGCACCTCGCGCGGCCACGGGTCGCCGCTCACTCCCGGTATTTCCCTATGATGTCGATGATCAGGCTGATGTCGTCGCGGGCGGCTGCCAGCGGGGTGCGGTTGGGGGTGCCGTCCACGATGCACTCGTGGAAGTGGCGCAGCTCGCGCAAGAAGGCGCTCTCCCAGTCGACTGCCGGCTCGGTGCGGTGGGCGGTGCCGTCCCCGTCGGTGCCCTGGATCACCACGGAAGAGAGAATGCCGCGTGCGAACCCGGTCGGATAGGAGAGCAGCACGCGTTGGTCGTCGCCGTAGATCTCGAGGGTCTCCTTGAAGTCCCACAGATCGGGCAGGTCGATCCAGGTGGCAACGCAGCGGGCACCCGAGGGGTACTCCAGGGTGAAGGTGACGGCGCGGCCCTCGCGCCAGATCTCGGCGCTGAGCACGGCCCGCGGCAGCTCCAGCATGGCGCGCATGGTGTACAGGTCGTGAATCATGCTGCCGGAGAGCAGGCCGAAGGCGCGCTGGACCTCCGGCGTGGCGTCGCCGATCGCCTGCCGGACGGCAACCCCGCGCGCGGCTGCGGTCTGCTCGATTGCGGCGGCGGGATAGTCGTCGAACCGGCGCAGCTCGAACTGGCGCAGGTGCAGCCGGTTATCGGGATGCAGGTGGTTCACCTGCACGAAACGGATCCCGTCCATCTCCCGCACCGCCCGCTGCGCCAGCTCGAAGGCGGGATCGTACACCTTCATGTAGCCGGCCTGGGCGACCGTACCGGCGCCACGCTGGGCGGCGATCATGGCGTCGATCTCCTGCAGCGAGAAGCACAGCGGCTTCTCGATGAACAGGTGCTTGCCCGCCTCCAGGACGGCGACCGCGGCCTCGGTCTTGGGGTCGGTGTGACACAACAGGACCGCGTCCAGGTCCGCCGCCAGCAGTTCCCGGTAGTCGGTGAGGTGGCGCGGCACGTGGAAGCGGCGCGCCGCGTCGGCGGCTGCGCTCGGTGAGATGTCGCACACTGCCGCCACCTCGAACTGGTCCTGCAGCATGCTGAGGTTGGGCAGGTGGTGGACCTGGGCGATGGCGCCGCACCCCACTACCCCGATCTTGACGCGCTTCATGGTGCGCTCCGATCCGCCACTGCCGGATCCACGCTGCGCGCGGCGAAGTCGTTCCAGGCCGCGGCCAGCTCCATGGTGCGGCTGAACAGCGCGGACAGCGCTTCCCACATCTCGTTGCGTGCCTCATGAGCCGCCGCCTCGTCATCGGCGGCCAGCGCCTGCCGGTAGCGGGCGAGCTGTTCCTGCTGCACGGTTGCGGCGCCCGCCGCAGCCTGCGCTACGGTCGCGGCCGCGGCCGACTGCCGTGCCGCCAGCTCCGCGGTGGGAGTGGTGCGGTCGGGCTGCTCGTCGTACGCGCGGCGGCGGTGAAGCGCGGCGGCTGCTTGGTGCCGTCCTCGTTCCAGAGGGTGTGCGTCGGCTGAATGTGCGGCGTGACCGAGAGGAACATGATCACCTCGTCGTCGCCGACGTTGCGTACCGTGTGGTACTGGTCGGTCAGGGCGATGCACATCTGTCCCGGACCCAGCACCGCGCTCTGCCCGTCGATCTCGAACTCCGCGCGGCCCTGGAGAATGAGAAATATCTCCTGGCCGAGGTCGTGGGTGTGCCGGCGTTGAACTGCCCGACCGCCATCTTCAGGAAGCGGCAGCGAATCTGCGGCGTCACCAGCATATTGACGATGTCGCTGCGGTAGTCGTAGACCTTCAGGCTCATGATCCCACGATGATGCTCCAGCTTGCCGCCATGCCGCAAGTCACTGGGCGGCGTGTGCGGCGTGTGCGGCCGGTATGCACAGGTGCCGGGAGAGTATCGTGCGGCATGGTGCGCTATCCCGGCCACACGCGGCCTCCGGTGACGATGAGTCGCAAACACTCTCACCAACGGCCTCTCCGAGTTGCTCGGCTGGTGCGCCGATGCCGGCATCGAGGTGGCGTGCATCTCCATCGACCTCGCCGAGTGGGTGTCAAGCCAAGTGCCTTGACCAGGCCATATCTAGCCCTACGACCGAGCAGCCCTGGCGAGTTGGCGGTCTCTAAGCAGCGCAGTCGCCCACCGCGGCCGGCGGAACCCCCAACAACGAGATTTCGCTCATTCCGCCAGGACGGTGGGTGGTCGGCGATTGACGGCTAACTGATTATGCCTTTCAATGCTCTCCAACCGTACAGGATCGACTTCCAGTTGATAATGGCAAGGTCTACGCGACGTACCCATCGGGTGCTATGAGGATCAATCCCGGCGTCGCCGACGTTCGTTGAATTATGTTGGAACTTTATAAAATACGCATCGTCTGGGGCTACTGGATGTCGTATGCCCCTTATCCGTTTCAGCACACTACCTATAACTGGGACGGCGCGGTAACAGCACAGCGAGGTAACCTAAACCGCTGTTGGCTCATCTCTTTCAACGGTCACTACGGCGACGTCGCGGAGAGCCTCATTCCGCTTGCTAAAGCTGAATGGAATTGGCAGGAGCCGGACAGTCAAAACCGTCTCGGCGGTATCCTGTTTGAGGTAGCCGGCTCTCCGGACACTGCTGTTCGATTCTCCTCGAAGACTGCGGAGATGGAGTTTACGATCGGCGACTTGTTGAAGACCAAAGTGATTCGCCGTCACATCGGGCAGCGCTACAGCAACGTCGACGTGACCGCCATGTTCGACGGATACGATCCCGAGTTGGATCAGCCACAAGATTCGCAGATGCTCACAGAAATCATCGGCCACCCGCGCAGGCTGATCTTGGCACAGGACTTTCGAGGGCCGATCCACCGCTGGTGCTGTACCGATTGGGGCATGGGCGCCGCCGGGCTGCAGCGTAGCAGTAGACGTCTCTTTGGAGCATCGGATGGGCACGAAGAACGCCGCTCAACGCTACCTGGCTGCGACCTTCATGTGTCTTGCGATTTCTTCGGCAAAAGACGAAACGATGGACGCTGTGATTAAGCGCGGGGTCGCCCACTATCTCGGCAGAGCGGGCAGTGCCTTGCTTCCGTACAGCGTGTTCCTCAACGATGTCGAGGTGCACACCGATGAGAGACGATTCGGTCATCCCGCAAGAATAGCACTGGTCCAGGAGATACCCGTTAAGGTCCTGGAAAAAGACCTCAACAGGGAAACAAACACGTTCAAAATCACTAACAGAAGTGACAAAGATTACCTCCTGCTGGCACGGGTCTACCTGGAACAGAAACTGGAGAACTATTTCGCGGTGACCGCTTGTCCTCGATGGGTGCTGCTGAAACCAAGAGTTTACCGTCGAGCTTTCATGCCGGTCGCAATTGCCGGAGCTGAACATTGAGAGTCCGCCGGGTCTAGAACTCGTGAATCCGCCTGCCGGGGAGTTGCCGAACGGGCCGCTAGCAATAGGGGAACACCGTTTCATCTTTGTCGCGCGGGAGCCGCTGGCAGACTTCGAAATTCTGTTTTGCTCAGGATCGGAGAAATGTTGCGCCCGCATCGAGCATGTTGCGGCCTGCGAACAGGAACAATATCCCATGCGGGTGGGCCTGGAGGATACCACCTTGCGGCCCATCGACTCGGACTATCGTGAGCACATTATCCGTGATATTCATGACAGCCAGACCGCAGATATATACGTCGGACGGGTACTCGGCGACCGCGAAAGAGCCCTCGCGGTCGCCAGGTACTGTCGCGATCACCGTATCTCTTTTCAAGTCGCGGACTCATGCCCGTTCGACTTGGCTAGTGAAATCAGGCGACAGGTCGGCTCCCTTTTCAAGGGTTATTACTGGTCTGAGTGTGACGGCTACCTGTGGGGATACGCGTCCAACCGCACTATCACCGGTACAGCGTTCAGGAGAGTGAGCGCACCATGAGGACGGCGTACGAAGACTGTGTGGCGTACTTTCGGCGGATGGTGGATGCGGTCAGGGAGATCGATGGAGGACTGGGGCCGTGGGTGCTGCTGTCGTCGGTGGTCCACAGTCAGGCGTGCGAGGCAGGCATGGAAATCACCTTATCGCAGTTCAATAAGAGCAACAACGTGCTTTTGGTCGCCGACGCTAGAGGGGCCGCACGCACGTACGGCAAACCGTTCTGGGGAACATACCAGGCGGAAGGCGGCCACGTAAATCCGGGCGGGCGCACAACACCTGCGGATGTGGTGGCTGTCGCTGTATCTGGCCTTTGTCGCCGGTGCCTCGCAAGTAAACGACGAGGAATCTCTTTACCATACCTGGCATCAGCGCCTATACGGACCGAGCGACAAGGTCACCACACTGCGGCGTCATATTATGCGGCAGTTCAACCGCTACGCAAAGACCCATCCGCGCAAGGGGGAGCTCCAAGTAAAGCAGGCGTGTCTCATTGGACGGTATGCCTGCGATGTGAATGACGGCCTGTCCCGGACCGACGATCTGGGTGCTCTAGCACCCCTGGTATGGCGCAACTTTGGCGGCACAACTGAACAGTGGAGACCATCGACTGCGGAATACGGATTGCGCTATCTCGATGTTTTCTTTCCTGATTTGTGGCTCCACACGCTGCAACAATCGCCGGAGCGGGTCAGACGGTGGTACGGCGGCACGCCGTATGGTGAGATCGAATTGATACCCATCGATGCTCCTGAAGAGGTGCTTTCGCAGTTCAAGCTGCTGCTGCTGCTCGGTTGGAACACGATGGATGAGGAACAGTACGGGAAGCTAAAGGCGTACGTTGAAAACGGCGGCACGCTGTTCATGAGCGTTCCCCATGGAACGAAGAATGAATCGAGGGATTTTCTGCGCAACAATCTGGAACCGCTGAATCTGATTCTCGGTGGGGATTTCAGCGATGTGTTCGGAACCAAGA